TTTAATCATTTAAAAATTAAAAAAAGAGACCAATCCGAGATGGGCAAAAACCCTAAATAATTTTTACAAAAAATGAATGAGGATGGGAAATATATTTTTGCAGCAAAAATATCAAATCAGCGATTTCTCACAGTTTCCGGAAATGTGTTGGGGGCCACTATAAATTTGTCACTCTTCATTTAACAGAGGGAACGGAAAGAAAATTTGGGGAGGGAGCGGAACTACATTACTATTTAGTATAAATTTAGTTAAAATATTTTATGTAAAATATTATTTTTTGTTATTCATTTTTTTAATTTTTCATGTAAAATATGGCAACTTTTGGAGCAATTTTATTTTACCTTTTTTTATTTTTATATTCCGATTTTGTTATTACATATTTAAAAAATATTTTTCCACTAATTATAGGAGAGGAGGAACAAAAATTTTGTTATATTTTTAATTTATAGCAACTTAATATTGAATTGAAAAAATGGTCGCGAAGTGAGCGTCTCATATTTTATTACAAAAACCAAGCAACCGGAAGTACCCTCTCTTCTTATTTAATTAAAAATTTCATTGCAATTATTGATATACCTATACGCTTTTTTTTTATTATTTTTCTTTTTGGTGTAATTAACTCTGAGCCAGAGGTCGGCCGAATTCCGACTTCCGAAAATTTACGTTGATTTCCTATCGCCGGCTTTATAGCCACTTTCTATTTCTGACAGTTCCGATTTCCGACACCTTCGCTATTTCCGGCCGACCTCTGATATGAACCATGATTTTTCCATTTTTCAATTAAAAAATCGATATTTTTTTAATTTTTGGGTTTCTATAAGTCTGAACTACCTTCGTACTTTAATTTAAAAAATACGTAGAGCAAAGATAGTATTAAACGAATAATCACCTGATTTTGTTTAAATTTTGAGTGCGTTCTGCTGAGACGATTTTGTGTTACGTCATCTGCAACAATAACAACAAAAAAACTTTAATTAATTTATGTAATTTTCTTTCGTTACTTCCTCTTTATTCAAGTTAAAAGCAAAGATTTTAAATTTTTAAGTCTTAATTTTATTTTTTAAATTTGCATCCTCAAATTCCGGTATTGCGCAGTGTGAGAATGGGTTTTTGTCCGTTTGACCTATTTGTAAAATTGGCATTTTAAAAATTCGACATTTTAAAATTGCGAAAAACGCATTTTAAAAATTTTTGCAAACGGCTTTATTTTTTCTAAATCTCGAGATTTATTTATTTCTTATTTTTAGATTCTTGAAGCTTTTTGTACAACTTTTTATTACTCAACCAATTTTTACTTTCTTATTTTTTACAACATTCAATTCGTTTTTATACTTTACAAAATCAATAACAAAATTTAAATTATGCAACATCACGAATCTATTCATTCTTCAAAAAGTCGAGTTGTCAGCACTACAACATCAAGTAGTTGCAGCAGTGGTTATACAAGCAGCGGTGGCTACACAACCACAAGCAATTTAAGCAACAGCAGTGCTGCTTGTCGACGTCAATCTGAGGCTGATTTGGAACTTACAATGCAATCTTTGGCTGTAACTAAGGCTAAGAATGAAGAGAATGAAATGGGAAGTGCTATCCGGCCATCTTCGTCTTCCTGCTCATCATCTTCCTCTGCTTCGTTTTCTGCTGCAACTTCCTCTTCATCTTCAATTGATCTTAATGGAAATGAAAATGTTTTGGATTCAGTTCGACAACAAAAGTCCAATCAAATTCAAATTAAGCGGCGTAGCAAAACACAGCTTGCAAAGGTTTTTAAATCAAGTTCTGTTCACTTATTATTCGCCTTTTTAATTTTTAGTGCCTCCAACTCGACTTGGTCTCCATCTCTAATTGTAAGAATGTGGTAAATTCCGATGGTGCAAATAACAACAAGGTTGAGAATTCAATTTCGAATTTATCCCCTTGGGGAAAACGGCAATTTCAGGTTGTTTCTAATTTAAAATTTTCGTATTATTTTAAAATTAACAGCACAACCGTCGAGGGCAATCAACATTGTTTCCTGTTCACATTCTTCCATTTCTCTACCTTGGAAATGTTGACACAGCCAAAAATCGACAAACACTTGAAAAGTAGTGTTTTGGATTATGAAATTTTTAAGAATCTTTTTTCCTTTAAGATGTGACATTCGCTATGTGATCAATGTGACATCCGATTTGCCAAACTATTTTGAGTGCGACAACAAAGATGGACAATTAAATAAAGGGAATGATGGGCCCAATATTACATATATGAGAATTCCTGTTGATGACAATTGCTCCCATAATTTGGCTCAGTTTTTCCCAGGTATTTTAAGCTTTCTGTCTTATAAAGATGCGAATTTAATTTCAAATTCATTGGGGCAGACCAATTATGTTAAAAAAATTTTTAAAGTTTCTATTTCTAATCAAAAATATTTCAGAAGCGATCTCATTTATCGAACATGCGCGTTCTCAAAAAGCAGGCATTCTTGTCCACTGCTGGGCTGGTATCAGGTTATTTTATACATATTCGATTTTTTTAAATTTTTCGCTCTTACAGTCGTTCTGTCACTGTTTGCCTTGCATATCTAATGTATTCGCAACGTTGTACACTTGAAGAAGCTTTTGATCGTTTGTTCAAACAAAATGGGACAATTGCACCAAATTTTCATTTCATGGAGGTTTTTTCTAAATAAATTGTCATTTTTGTAAAAAAATTTGAAGGCATTAACTTGTTGGGAGCGCGAACTTTTTGCTTCTCATTTTTCTTCGTCAGCAATGGGAATTAATTTACCGCCAACACTTTCTACACAACAACAAAATATTTCAACTACAGCATCTTTAAATGGAGGAAATGTTGTTGTTGTTCCTGGGCCTCCTTGTTCGCCATCAGCTTCTTCACCGGCATTTAAACAGTTTAAAGGTTTTGAAGCAGTTGTCCCCTGAGGGAAATGATTAAGAAAATTGATATAAATTTTTCACTTTTTTTTCATATTTTAAGATCTTATCCTTAAACTTTTTTTTTACTATTTTTACCTGGTGCGACAACTTAGGCGCGCATTTATAATTTTCTCAAAGTTTTAATTTCTAGTTTGAAGCGACTTATGTTTAAAACAAATTGCTCGATAAACTTGTCGCATCCTGTATTTTAATAAGAAATTTTTTATGCGAACAAGCATGGCCAGACATGGTTCTTCTAAGCGAATTTTAGGGGTTTTTACTATATTTTTTGAATTTCCTTAAAATCCTTAAGAGAATTGATGCTCGTTCTGTCTTTCATGCTTCAAACTTTCTTATATTTTACAACTTTTTTTTATTGTTTTTGTTGAGACTATACTAACCTTTTTTATTTTTACAAACCTTTACTCTTTTTATTTTGAAAATTTTTTCTTCAATTTTTATTCTTTAAAAATGCAATATTTTTTTTCTTGCTGGAGATTGAATGTTTTTTTTTGAATAATTTCGATCTCTAGTTTTTTTGCTAACGCGAACAACCACCATTTTTATATATTTTTCATTTATTTAGATTTTTTATTTAAAAAATAAAATTGAAACACAAGAAAAGAAATGTTTTTTTGAGTTGTTTGTTTTCATTCAATATTTTTAAACTTTTTAATCTCCTTTTTTAATTTTAGGAATTTTAAAATATTAAAATAAAAATTTTCTCGTGAATTATAACGTTAAAAATCCAGAGGTTTATTTTTTTTATTTATTTTTTTGTTAGAATTTATTCTTCAAAAGTACCTATTAAAGAAGGAAATTATTTTTAATCCTTTTAGCCTTAAAATGCATTTCAATATTTTTGGCAAAGCAGTGATGGTGCACCATAATTTTATAACCCCAAGAAGGAAAGGCATTGTTTTATACAACTATCCATCAATTTGTCTTTTGGTTCTTCCCTCTGGGGCCGTTTCTGATATAATAAGAGGGCCAAGAAGTTGATGTGGTTTTTGTCTATTTGTGCCCCGCTTCCTGCTTGCAGACGTCATTAGTTTATGGTATTATATTTTTTTCTTTTTCATAACAATGGGATAGGAAGCAATATTTTGGTAAATGCGCGTTTAGAATTAGGGTTTCGGTTGGGAAACAAAATTATTCTTGGGCCAAAGTTGGTATGGACATATAGAGACGGACAAATCTGGATTGGGATGACAAAAATAACCTCTTGCGTATTTCGTTGGTTCTAAAACTTCAAAACTTTTTTCTTCAATAGGGCAATGTGCAATTCAAGACCCAGTACCCGTAGGTCCCGAAATCAGTAGGGTAGTTGTCCATGCATTGAAATATCCTATGTGTGCCCCAATGTGTCCTCTATTTATTTTAAAAATTATTTCTTTAATTTTTAAATTTGTTTTTAATAATTTAAAAAGAATATTTTGCTTGGATCCTTGGAAACTAACATAAAAATATGAATTTTAAACAAAAAAAACTCGTTATAAATAATGTCTGGAAAACATCCATCACGTCCTTTATTTTTTACAAAAGACACTTAACAATAAACTAAAGCAGTTGTGTTTGTGTTGTTGCCATTTTTCTAATATATACAAGAATTTCTTCTGGCCAACTCTGCTTTTTCCCCTTTTTATGCCGCTTTACTCACCCTCTTAAAAATTATATGCGCTGCTTGCTCCTTATATATATATTTTTTGCGGCAGCAATGACCTAGACATGAAATAATGCCAGTTATATATTTTTTTATTTTTAAAAATTGAATTGGAAGTTAAGTCCGTTCGTGTATATTTTTTAACAATTTTTTAACATTCTTTAAAAATAATACAGACCTAAACTTTATAAAATCTGGATATGGGCGCCATTTCATAAGATTTCTTCATTGTTTTAACCCTCACCACTTTTATTGTCTTTAATTTTTAAATTTTAACTTACCCTTTAATTTTTAGAAGAAATGGTCATCATCTTATCAATTCTAGGAAGAAGAAAATGGGAAAATAAATAACCAACGCTTCTAAAAAGAAGAAGGCTGTCAGCTAAAAGTGCATCGTTTGAACTGCCAAAAAGCTGCTTTCAAAAATGCCTCCAAAAATCAAGCGGACAATGTATTTTCTGGATTCTTTTGAAAATGTAAGGGGTATTTAAATTATAAAATTAAAATATTTTTTAGTTCTCCGATTCTGGTTCTTTTATTGTTTCATACAATAGTGATAATGAGGACGATGACCCTTTCATTTGTTCTAAAGAAATTGAGAATGATCAACGTTTGGAAGAAGTATTGGGTAGTTTAATTAGAAAGTTTTATTTTTTAATTTAGATCTGACGGGGCTTGTAAGGATTTTAAATAATTTCGGTTTTTTGTGTAATCCCTTCTTTTTAGAAATGAATTTAAAAATCTGGTTGACTTTACTCTTTAACCTAATTTTACATTTGGGACAAAATTTAAAATGAAAAAAAATGGTTTTCTTTTAAACATCAAAAATAAGCCAAAAAATTGTCTGTAATTGCCAGATTAAACAAAGAACAATTAAATTAACTAAACTTGTTTGGATTTCAGTTGTTTTAAAGGCAAAAAATGCCATAGCCGTTTATGCCTTAAAATGAAAGAAATTTTGAGGCATTGCTTGGTTATCCACAGTTTTTGGGGTTAAATTAATTTAGATAAATAAAAAATTTTATTTAAACTAAAAGAGAATTTTCTGTCATTTTTCAACATTTTTTTGTTTAAGAAAGGTTTAAATTTTTATTTTTTAAAGTAAAATCCAACAAAAACCGTTGTCATTCAAAACGTCGTTATTTCTGTACTGTTCCATTTTCAAAAATTAGAAAGGATAAAAAAGAGATATCTTTTGAGGAAGAAGACGAAATGTTCTACAATCGCCAATTTTCTTCTTTTGATGATCAACAACAATATCAAAAAGAATTTTTGGTATATTTTTAAAGAATTTTTTTAATTTATAATTTTTTAAAGAATTATTCATCTTTTGATCAAAATTTTGGATTTGATTTAAATAATCTAACACATTTACATTATCAACATTTCAATCCCTCTGATCAATTCCAATCATCATTTGATCTCTCTTTAAGTTCAACAACTTCTTGTACGTCACTTGGTACCTCTTCAGGACTTCCATCACCAAATGATTACTTTCCTGTCAACCAACATCAAGTGATTTTGATGGGTAAGAAAAAATTCAAGAGGGGTCTAAAATAAGTTTAGAATTGTTCAGGTTTCGTTATTACCATGGTTAAAATGGATACCTATTTAAAATAACTTCCGGTCCTCTTAACTTAAAATAATTTCAAATTTTAAGATACAAACAGTGCATATAATTACGCTGCTATTAATTATACTAATAATAATTCTACAACATTCAACTCCTTGTCAGAAGCATCAAATCCACAAACAATTAATTCAAGTTGTGGTTGTCCAGTTAATACTATAAAGTTGGTATTTTTTGTCAAATTTCTTTTAATATTTTTTTTGTTTAGATATGAATATGATAACGGCAATATCATTTCTTCATCAATTAGTCCAGCAACTTTTCAAGTAGCAATACCGCAACAGATGCCTTTTCAAACTACCAACATTTTTCAAAGCAATAATACCTCTTTGGCACATCAACAAGTCACAAATGGAAATGAAAGGCTTAAGGATAAGGAAAAATCGCTTGTAAATACGCCAAACAATGATTTTTCAAATGTAAATGTATCCTTATTCTTCCAACAAACTGGAGACGATTTTGAAGTTGCTGATGATAAAGACAACAATGATTTTTATGTTACTGGACAACAACAACAGCTACTTTGCAATGAAGGGTTTCCTTTGGAATTGGAAAATAATATTTGGGATAATTGTGAGCAAGAACAAAAAGAAGAAGAAGATAGTTCTGCGACGAATAATATAGTTAATTCAAATTCTCTAGTTGAAAAGAATAAGTATGAAGCCACATCTCCTTCATGGACTCAGTGTTGTTCATCAATTTTAAATGGGGAAAATAGTCAAAAAGAGACACCCCAAAGATTTTTGATAAGTTTAGAGGATGAATTAGTAACTCCACAGCTAGATTTGTTTATAAATTAATATATAGATTAAATTTCATAAAATAGCTACATATAAATGTTTTGAAGTTTAGACGGATTTACTTAAATTAGTCCGTTGCAATTCGAATAATTTAAGATTTGCTTAATTTTTTGCGTTTTGATGCTTTGGCATTTCAACGTATTCAATTTGATTTTTCTTGCAATGAGGAAAATTGAAATGTCTAATTTCAAAATATCTAAATAAAATTTTTTTCTTATTTTTTTGCAAATTTCAATTTTTCTTTTTTTTTTATTATTGTTTAGTTGAAGCATTAGATAAATTAAATTTTTTATTAATTTGTTGGTGTCTTTGGACAAAATAATATGGTAAGATTTGTGAAATTATTTAATTTTCTGATTTTTTAAAGTTGGTACTTGTGATTGGTGATTTTTTCATACCTTATCGTGCCCACAATTTGCCTCAAAAGTTTCGTAAACTGCTTGTACCGAATAAGATGCAACACATTTTGTATAAGAATTTTTTAAAAATATTTTTATGTTTTGATTTTTAGGTGCACTGGAAATGTTTGCACTCAAGAAACGATGAATTATTTAAAAACATTAACTTGTGATGGTATTTTATAATTTATTTACTTTCTAAATTGAATTTTCTAGTCCATTGTGTTCGTGGCGACTTTGATGAGGATACTTCTTATCCTGATATGAAAGTAATCCCTGTTGGTCATTTCAGGATTGGACTCGTCCACGGCCACCAATTTATTCCGTGGGGTGATTTAAAGGTTTATTGATTTTATTAAATATGTAATTATTTTTAAAGGCTATGGAATTGGCTGCTCAACAAATGGGTGTTGATGTTCTTATTTCTGGTCATACTCATGGTAAATAAATTTTTAGATACCCGTGTATATTTTTCTATTCTCAGAATGTGCTGTTTTTGATAAAGGTTTGTTCTTTTTTTAATTTGATATTAGATCCCGGGTAATTTTTTAGTTTGCTGGTCCATATAGGAAATTATTGCAGAGGATGTTCTTCGAACTTCTTTCCAATAGGCGATCGGGTGTGCGACATGACGGTTCAGAATATTAGCCTAGAATTTGATATTTCGAGCCCGGGGCAGAAAGTAATCGTGGCTTCATTACACTGGATTACTTATTGGCCCAGACCTCGAAAATATCGAAAGTGCACTTTCTGCTCATTTTTCTATGAATCAGTAAGCTAGAAGATTACCAAATCTTTGACAATTTCTATTAAAAAATTTTAACAGATGGCATATTCTATATAAATCCAGGTTCAGCGACGGGCGCATTTTCATTAATCAAAGAGTATTTTTTCTTTTAACATTTGTTTTTTTATCAACCCATTTTTGCAGCAAAGTCATCCCCTCATTTATTGTATTGGATGTTCAAACTGATGTTATCATTGCCTATATATACAGACTTCTGGATGATGAAGTGAAGGTTGAGAGGTCTCAATTTAAGAAGAGTGGACATTCAATTGGTTTTACTTAAGTTATTTTTTACTTAATTTTATTTAATTTGGTTATTTTGTGATTTTTCGAACACCTAAAGTATTTATTTTTTATTTGTAAATGTATCTAACTTGTTTGATTTTGACAATTTATTTAAAGAGTTTTCTATTTTCTAATCAGTATTTTTTTCTATTTTATATCTATTTCAGTTGGAGTTTAAATTATTTTTCATAATCAGTATTAATATAATATTAAAAGCAAAGTTATTAAAATGTGGACAAATGGTCATTCTTTTGTCTTTACTTCTCCAATTAAATCCTCAATGTGTGAGCAATTAGCAAATGGTGATGGTGAAATCCGGAAGTGCGAAATTTTCAAGGATCCAAAACAAGGTTTTTAATATTTGGAGTAATCCAGGGTGGACCAATGATTAGCATTTCCTTTTTTCTTCTCCAAGTTTTTTCCTTATTTTGTACAGAATGGTCGGACTTACTTTAATTACTGAAGCTCCGAAACTAGGTCACGCACGGACTGTTTAAAATTAATCTTTTTGTCTCATTGAATATGCCACAGGGAAATAGGAGAAAGTCCGACCATTTTGTGCATAATAAGGAAAAAGCTTGAAGGAGAAAAAATGCATCCCTAAACCTTGGTTTACCTTAATCTTTTGCTTTTGATGCTAATAATTCATTCAGGGTTTGGCATTAACATTGGTGGTGGAACTGATGCCCCTTATGTTAAAGGAAATACAGGTATCTTCGTCTCGCGTGTTCGAAGGGATGAGTTGCTTGATTTAATTTGTGAAGGAGATCGGATCATTGCGGTTAATTTTATTTTTTTTTTCATAATTATAGTAAATTTTTTTCATTAGGTTAATGATATTATTTTGGAAAATAAGAAACATCGTGAGGCTGTAAGTCTTTTGAATAGTCTTGAGGGCGTTTGTACTTTTACTTTGGAGAGGAAAAGTTTTAATGTTAACGAGGTTTGTTTTATAAAATTTTAAACAGAGCATTTTAAAGATTCCTCCCTCCGAAAACAAAGTGCTTACATTTAGCACGCAACCATCCACATTAAATGAGACTATCTTCAATGTCAATCTCGCCTCGGAGGGTAATACTGATGTTATTTTGGAAAATAAGCACAATCTCGCCTCGGAGAGTGACACTAATGTTGAGGTTTATTTTCAAAGGTTTTAAAATGATTTCAAATATTGTTTTATAGCTTCAAGTTCCGAATTCTTCCGAAGGCGAAGTGCTTACATTTAGCACGCAACCATCCACATTAAATGAGACTATCTCCAATGTCAATCTCGCCTCGGAGGGTAATACTGATGTTATTTTGGAAAATAAGCACAATCTCGCCTCGGAGAGTGACACTAATGTTGAGGTTTATTTTCAAAGGTTTTAAAATGATTTCAAATATTGTTTTATAGCTTCAAGTTCCGAATTCTTCCGAAAGCGAAGTGCTTACATTTAGCACGCAACCATCCACATTAAATGAGACTATCTCCAATGTCAATCTCGCCTCGGAGAGTGACACTAATGTTGAGGTTTATTTTTAAAGGTTTTAAAATGACTTAAATATTGTTTTATAGCTTCAAGTTCCAAATTCCTCCGAAAGCGAAGTGATTATTTACCGTCAACCGTCCCCAGTAAAGGAATTAATGTACAGTCGCAAACCATCTCCGCTGATGGAATTATTTTTTCTTGGTGTTGGTACGTGCGCGTTGCTTGGTCTTGTATTTGTTGGTTATCGAAATCTCAGTAAGAAGTCAGGTTAGAAAAATACGAGTTAAAAGAGATTATTTCCTTCAGGAAGCTTTTATTTTTATCATACATAATTTGCTCATTTCGTTTATTATTATTCTCTAAAAAGTTCTCGTTTTATTTCTTTTATTTTTAATAATAATATTCATGCCAAAAAAATAATATAATATAAGCGGTGTTTTTTAGTTTTACTATGTTTGTGTAAATTGGGACACTCCAAAAGGTCAACTCTATTGATCAAATGCACGTGAGAATTTCCGTCTTGTCCCTTAATCCCCGTAAATCCATCTTTAACCGTCAAAATCCATCGATATTCCCATGTAATACCCGCAAATTTTTATTAATGCGCACAAACACTATCCGCTCAAATATTTGGAGTTGACCTTTTGGGACTTTTGGGTTGATCCTGTGTAAAAAATGTAGGCTTTAGAGCCCAATTTAAACATTCTCCGAATAAAACTCTCAACAATAAAAAAAATAACTTTGTAACCAATGCAATACAAGCAAAGAAAATTTAAGGAAAATTTGGCAGAAAAATAACGTTTAATACAAAGAAAATATTTTGATAGTGTGGCCCATTGATGCTAAATAGGTTTATGAAAAGGAAATAAATGATTTGGGAAATAATATAACAACAAACAATTTTTAGTTTTTAATCCCGATTAAAAACTTTTGAAAAAAGGGGGCCAAAAAGTTAGGTCAAAAGGGGGGAGGGTATATAAATAAAAATTCTTATGCAACAACCATAAAAGCTGTGGAGTATATAAATATCAACCAAAAAATGTCTATCAATTATAACATCATTTAGACTTTTTATTCTCTTGTTTTTGCGCTTTACCACCACCAACTGCTGTTGATGTTGCGTTTGCCGTCTCATTAGCTGCTTTTTTCTTCTTTTTATCACTTCCTTCGTCTTTACTGCTCTTATCAGATTCATCCTTCTCTACTAAATGTTCTTCCGAATAGTTCCACAAATCGCTAAATTCACCTCGCAATGCAGCAAATCCAAGGGGTAATAGTAAACAAGAGGGTACCAAATAAAGCAACGCGGGTTGTGCTGCCTGTAAAAAATATTTTAGAAAATTAAGAAGTTTAATATGAAAGAACCTTGAAGTAATGCATAACACCCATCGTTACAAATAATCCAAAAGCATAGGCAAATATAGTCACCCAGCAATAATAGCGCTTCTTTTGACCGCCTCCTTTCTGTTTGGAGCCAATATGGTGGTCAAAACGATAGAGGAGTGCAACAAAGATTCCTGGGATTACGATGTCGCCAAGTCCTAAAGGTTATAATTTTAGAAAAAAAAATTAAAGAATTTTTTACCAAGCATGCCATGTTTACTTGCATTCAGCCATCCATTACGAAGTAAATCTTGCGGGAACATTAACAAAATTGGTGCATCAATACCTTTGGCAACGGTTGTCATCTTTAAGGAGGTAATTAAAATTTTTCAAAAGTTAAATCCAAAAACTGACCACATCAGTTGCAAATACCCAAAATACGTCATAAATGAATAATCCAGCAAGAAGGATAGTTCCAGCCTTAATTTTAATAGAAAATTTAACGAGTAAAATTTAAAGTGGAAACCTTAAAACTAGCCAAATGAAGATTTTCGATGCCAAAAATGGAAAAAGCAACACCCAAAAGATTGTTGGTTATCCAATGGCGGCGATACAAATGTGAAATACCCACAGCTGAGCAACAGAGTACAGCAATAGATAAATGTGTATCCCATTCCGAGAAAAGGAAATAGTCCTGTTAAATTTTTGATTAGACCGTCTTAACATTAATCTTTAAAAACTGACCACTTCTTTTTTACCAGCCATTTCAACTTTTCCTTCCTTCATTGGTTGTTTGCCTCGTTTAAGCACCAAAACCCATGGAACATTGCGTCTTGGCCAGCGGTCTCCGATTGGAAGTCTTGAAAGAAAAGCTGAGAAAAATGGTTTCAAAATGGTGGCCAAAGCAATGCAGCCTGTCAGTTTATAAGTTATAAAATTAATTTAAAAGAAGGAAAAAACCTTCCCAACAAAGCAACAACAAAAGAAAATAAATTAAATTTTGTTTGTTCATTTCAGGTAATTTATCCACCAAAGTCCCAGCTACAGGGTGAATAGAAGCCACTTTTTGCAGAATTCCACTGAAGATAGTTCCATTAACAGTTGAATTTGTTGCCGATGCTGCTGCCCCAGTTAGCGTTGAATTTGTTGCGGTAAGAACTATAGAAAATTTTTTAATAATAGGTATAGTGTTACGAGAAAGTTTGCTCTGAACAAAATTTTGCGCCCATTCCAATCGCTCATAGACAGCTAAGGACATATAGGGTCGAACTTTATCAAGCAAAAATCCAATGCCTCCATCATTCGTTCTAAATAATTCAGATATTTAAAAGTACCAAAACGAAAATGTATTTGAGGGTTATCCCGAACCAGTTTTCTTATATCTGACCACTATGAGTCAGCTAAACTGGTTTGGGGTAACCCACAAGTACCAAGTTTAATTAAAAATTAACTTGAAAATTAGATAAAGGGTAAAAAGAACAGCACTAGCAGTCAAAGGAAATCGTTTTGCTTCCCGCGTAGTTATCGATGTTTCAATAAGTTCCTTCTTCTCAATTAAATTTTTGACAAAAGCTAATGACCTGATGGTACCCCAAATAATACAAATAATAGCCATTGCATAGAGTGACGAATATGCCATTACCTTAAAAGAATGTTCCTTGAATGTTAAAATTTAAAAACCTGTTCTTCAAATGTATATACAACAGTAGCATTATTTGCAGCAGTTCCATCAGGCGTTGAACTCGCAGAAGGCTCAGAAACTTTTGTTTCCGGCATGTAGTTGTTTAAGGTTTAATGAGATCAGCAAATACTTTGTGTTAAAATCTCTTAAAAATTAGAAATTATTGGGGAAATTTTAAGAAAAAGATTTAAGCAATAATTTAAGCTTCACCTTATTAGAATAATAAAAACACTAAATGTCTAAATTAAAGGCCTTAAAAGTGCAGGCATAATCAAATTAAGAAGGCGTAGTAGCCAAAATTGCTGTTCGAAATTTTCAGGGTTTTCGTTGCAAAACAAAATTTGATTTTATCTACGTGTCTAACTTTTAAGGGGAGATGTCAAAATACCAAAAGGTCAAAAATGGTTCTGAATCAAAATTTTCTGGTGAATTTCCTTTTTTGTGATCCAGCGGATGATTGAGATTTTACGAACATCAAAAATGTTAACTCGTTCATTTATTGAAGTAGAGCTAAATTCTTTATCC